CAAAAAGAGAACCCCTTTTACCTTTGTCAACTTCATTGTAAATGGTAAATGAATTTTGAATTCTTCCATCAAATTGCTTTGGAGTTTGCAGAAAGTTTCCTTGGAATGGCCATACAAATTTCTGATTACAAATTATGAGAGTCAAATTTTGCTAAGAAGAAAGAAGGCAGCCAAAACTCTTCTGCCATGGCAGAGAAAAGAGACGCTACTTTTCTTTGGAAGAGGGAAAGAGATGGAAACCCTAGCAAATTTGTTTTAATTTTATAAATAAATCCAACTGTGGATTAGATGCATCTAATGGCTGAGATTAATCTTATATAAGTAAATAAGGTATAATAAAATAAATAAAGCAAGAATTTATTTGGAATTCTCTAGAAGATAGAAGAAATGATCTTGACCATTAATTTAAAATGGACTAGATCTGATGAATCCATGTGGCAAGGTGTGGGGTCAAAGTGTGAAGGGATGAGGAGAGCATGCGCTAGGAGTGTGTTGTCATGGGATTTGTTACCATTGGCGCCTATGTGGCGCTGATGTGGAGGCTTATTGTGTGCTTATGTGGAGTCCATGTAGATGAAAGAGTTAGGTAGATGGGCTGGCGGGTATGGGCTATTTATGGGCTATTTTGGTTGATTTATGGGGTCTAAAAATCTGAAAATGTGTTATAAAATTGGCCCCATTTTAAAATACATTAAACTTTACCAAGATGATCTAATTTACATTTAAAAAGTCTTTTTCACTTTAAATTTAATATGCTTCCATTAATTCTAATAATATATATAAAATATATATATATTATATTACTGTTAAAAATTAATATCTAGTGTGTATGCATTATATATAGAATAAGAAGTAGAAAAAATAAAATAATAGTTGGGCAAATAATATTTGTATTAATTATTACGATGCTTAGCATTAAATAATAATATTGATAGTGACTAAGTAACTAAAATAACAATAACGATATAATTACAATAAATAAATATACTAAATTATATTAAGGCTAATAGTTATATTTTATTTTATAAATCTTGAGGCGTAGAAAATATAACAAATGTTTTGGATAAAAATATGTAAAAATATATTTAGTAAATTATTAAGAAGTAGGAAGTATAGAGAAATTGCTTGATAAAGGAGGGCCAAAATTGGTTGTCAACAGCATGTACTGCGCGGTCCGTACCGCGTTATGCCAGGACCGCGGCTAGAGCGACCTTCAGAATCAGAGGCAGTGTTCTGCCGCGGTCCTACCGCGTTACGCTTAGACCCGGGCCATACAATACGAGATTTTCAAAAAAAAACATGTTTTGACAGGATAATCCAAAAGTTCTGTATTTTAATCCAAGATTACAGAATATTATACAAAACGTTCACGTTTTTTAACATAGAATAATTATCCGAAACATGTATCAATGAATAACACGTTTTAATATTACTCTATGCATGTTGTGTTACATTATCTAGTTAGATGTAAGACGGCGTCTGATACCAATTGTTAGAACATGCGGCAGCGGAAGCAAGCATACAACCAGGCATCAATTACATGTAAACTAGACAACACAATAATAATGGATCGGGAACAGTAACCTCTTAAATAGTTGCACAAATTCTCCAAGCAGCAAAATCCAGGGCTGTAGTCTTCTGCTATATGCCTAGTAAAACCTTGAACACTTTTGCTTTTGGTAGGG